AATTGTAAGTTAATATGTAAAATTTTGTGTAATTACATTTTAATTCAAATATATCAAGTTGGTGTATCATGCTTAATAAGATGACCAATACCATTAGAAGCAGGTCTTCTAGTAGTTGCTTCTTTTTTTGATCCAAATTCAGGTGTACCGAAATCTACTTACTATAAAGAAATTGCTAAGATTTTAGAAACCATAATAATACAAAATTCTACCTTATTCCAAATAGAATTTTGCTATTCATCAATTAAAGATGCTATTAATTTAAAATCATATTTAGAAAGATATAATATGCAAGAAACATTATTAAAAATTGAAAATAGCAATATTCAAGAACAAATAATATTATTAAGAAAAGCACCACACTTTCCTTCTGATATTTTTCCTAATGAACAAATTATACAAACATTAAAAAAAAAATAAATACTTTTAATAAACTTATGAGTACATGTTATGAATTAATGAGCAGTAATGATATTATCTCTTATATATTAGAGATTTTCTGACAAATATCTTTAAGAATACTGTATAAATTTGATCAAACTTCTATGCTAATTATTTAAACCTTTTACACTTAATTATACTTTAAACCCTAGCCCTTCTTTTTTCTTACCAAGCCTCAATATTTCAACTACTCAAATCTCTTCAATTTATCAATCTGGCTCTGTTTCTAATATATTGCAATATATTGCAAACCAAAACAGTAATTCTAACAACTTTACTTTCTATACTAATAGTTTTGTTACAAATATAGACAATCCCCAATGTTCTATAGGTATTGGTTGGCTGCAAAGTAATAATAACATAATACAGCATACCTTTTAAGCTAAAATTAAACTTTGGCCTTGCTTCTTTAAAGCTGAACTTTTTGCAATTCTATTAGCTATTAATACAGTCCTCTGAAACTTTACTATTTATATCTATACTGATTTCTAATCAGTAATTTCAAAATACAACAGCCTTCTATACTTCACTAAAGCAGCAAACTTCTCAAATACCTTATACTGGTTTACTTGGAAAACACTTTTAAATATTTGTTCCTTCTATAATCTTTTAATTATTTTTTACAAAGTTTCAGCATATCAAGACTATAAACTTAACAACAAATCTAATAAACTAGTCTCTATCACTCTAATACACTAATTCTTGCACTTAATCCTGGCAATATATACAATGCTTAATTTACTTCTCTTTTTAGCAGCTTCTCTTTCAAGCTTCCTGTTTATTATAGTATCCAAACTATTTACAATGCAAGTATTCTTGCATGTTGGTCTTCCCAATGTCAATCCAACAATTGTTTTCTCTCTCTTAAGATATTTATTGGAATGCTACCTGGCTCTATCTTAATAACAATTAAAAAGTTTTAAACTTTATATATAGCTTCCAATCATCAACACTTAAATATTTAGAATTAAATTACTACTTGATAACCTCTATCTTTATATATTCTTCACAAAAGATATCCTTCTTATCCTAATTCTTACTACTTATATCAACAACCTACTGAGATATTACACTGGATATTTTGCTCTTCTCCTGACCTAATACTAAATTTGTTTAATACATCTTTATAGTATACTTTAATCTCTAGTAAAATTCAAATTTCACAAACCCAAACACAATATTTTTTTAACCAAATTATAAACTTAACAGTTTACAAATCCATTTTTTTTTACATTTAAACTATTAATATTCTTTATAATTACTAGCCTTGTTCTTGTTGATATTATAAATACTCTATGAGACTATACCCCCTTCTATTTTAACAACTTTGTCTGTTCCTTTATTATTTAATTTTTTCTTCACTTTAACTAACAAATTTATACAAATATTTAAATTCTCTACTGCACTTTAAAATCACAATCCAACTTTGTTTCTAACAATAACAGCAACACAACTTCTGCCAACTCTGCTGTACTCTCTTCGAGTTCAATCTTCCTAATTAAAAATATCTCGAACTTGCTTATATTTAATTCACTTTATAAAATAGAAACTTGGTACCCTAACTGGATTAAATTTTTTTTACATCTTCTCTTATTCTTACTTACTCTCAATCTAGATAAGCCTTGGTCACTCTGGTAGGTTTAGGCTGCTGATAAGTATTTAGATTTACTTAGATATATGTCTGAGTTTTTTTTCTTAGTTTTGAATTTAAAAGATAAATTTTTTTTTAATTATGTAAGAAGTTTTTGTTGAATCTTATAAAGATAAAAGCATAGTCTCACCTTTAATATTAAAAAAAAAGTATATTATATAAAGGTTTTTTAAGATTTGATAATAAATCTTTATATAGTAAGTATATCTGATTTCTAATTTCTAACTATACTAATTTTGCAAGTATATATAGCTTATTTTATTGTTTTGTGATATATTCAAAAAGAATATTCTAGTTCAATATTTAAATATATATTTTGCAATATTTTTATAAAATAAATATATAATATTTATAGTAAATAAATTAAAAAAATTAATAGTTATTAGATTAAAAAGAATACTATATTTGTTAATACTTAAATATAAAAATAATATATATATGTATAATGCTAATACTAATAAAAATAAAATTATACTGCTATTAATAAAAATCAAGTAGAATTTACTTGTTTTCTATTAATAAAAACTATATATTATTTTTTAAAGCTAGTAATAAACTCATTTTAATTTTTTTCAGGCTTTGTTTTTTAAATTATTTTAAGTTTTCTTTTCTATTTTTCAGATATTTGATTTGATAAATTAAATACTTGATATCTTGTAGAAATAAAGTTTTTAAATAGAATTGTAAAATAATAAATATATTTTATATAACTTCTTTTTAAATCACAATAACAATAATCATGATAACTATTTAATATATAAATCAATATAGACAAATTTGTTTGTATTTTTGTATTTTTTTAGCTATGATCTACTTTTTTAAAATACTAAGTTATTTAAATAAAACTTTGTACAATTATATTTAAAAATAAATTTACTTTTTTGCAAAATTAGTTTTTATAATATAAGAAAAAAGTTTAGATTGCTTATAAGCTAAAAATAGACAAGTTCTAAAAAAATTTTTAATTAAAAAAATTATTTATAACATCTTGATAAACTTTTTAAATATTAATTTTAAATATATAGTTTTTAAAACAATATTATAGTTTATATAAAGTATTACAATTTTTATTATTATATTTTTAGAGATTTACTAATAAAAATTAAAATTTACTTATAGCAAAAATTTTTATAAACAAAAAAATATATAAAATTTAAGAAAATCTCAAGAAAAAATTATATAGTAAAAATTTTAATACAAGAACTTTAAACTTTTATTATATTAAGAGTAGAATGTATATTAATCAAATTTCATATAATCTATATATATTTTGAATTTTTACATAGTGTAATAATGGTGAAAATATATGCCTTAAAATCCCTACTTTGTAAAGTAAACTGAGAAAAGGTTTGTGTAATATTCAATAATTCCACTAATAAAGCTTGAAAGAGGATGTTTGATTTGGCAAAGATCGATATATGCTTTAAAGTATATACTTTATTAGATAGAAATATGTAATATGGCAAATACCTCTCTATTGCGGCAAATGCTTGTATTTTTATACAATTTACATATATGCTAATTATATTAAATGTCCTAGTTATGCTAAATATACCTGCTATACTAAATATGCTTAATATGCTCGATATCCTTAATATGCTATATATCCTCAATATGCTAACTATTCTAATTATTATATTATGCTAAACAAATATACAATCAATTGTCTGATTTAGTCATATTATACTAATGATCAATTTGCAATTATAACAATAGTAACAAAAAAGTGCTTTTAATAAAATGTTTTAATATCTTAACTAATTTGTATCAAATTTATATAATATGTAGTTTAAAATAGTTTATTTCACTAGTCAAAATCAAAAATATTATCTAAATATCTTCAACTAATTGGCCTAGAAGATAGCCTGGTGATAGCCAAGCGATAGGCAGGTGATATTAACCCGATTCATT